GTCAAATGCTGACTGACGTTTGTCATACCAATTGTTAGTCCATTATTTATACACTGAATTGACGACGGATTTCTCCGTTATTCCCTGAACATAACAAAGGGCACACGGCGGTGTGACCGGTCGTCAAGGGATGCTCACTCCTCCATTGCACCTGATCCCACCTCTGATGTTTCGGGGGTCCGTGTTTGCTCTGCTCTTATTTTGTATTGTTGTATGGACTTTGAGATTGAATAGTGTTCGTTATTTCCATATCCTTCCTTCCAAACTTGACTTCGCCCCCGTTTCTTGCATGTCGTATGTTACATCCGCTCTGCTGACTCATCCAGGTGAGCCACCGATAGGCTTTGGCCGAATATTGTCGCGCAGGTTGATACCCCAGGTTAGGAATGATGGCAATGGTCTCTTTAGGCATGAACCTCGACGGTAAGCTAAATTGGCTGCACTGGCTGTACAATTTATGTGTACAGGGAATAATAGGAATGTACTGTGAAGTACAATAATCTGTACAGTAAAAATCTGTGACGTACAATGAAAAGCAGAGACTGCGTACTAGGAAGTACTGAAGAGTATTGTGATGTTCAGAGAATATGTACTGTGAAGTACAGGGAGTTGCTGTGAAATGCTGTGCTTCTTTAAAGTGATTTACTGCGCGGGTATGTTAAGGAAGCATATATGTCATTTTTCGGGAAATTTAGACTTTTGAAAGAAAGTTAAGTTCGATAATTTACCAAAACCGCTGATAAACGTAAACTATTATTATTTATTGCATAAAGATTAAAGAGTGTCAACACAACACCACGGCATCATGTGACTTCTATTAATAGCGAAATTTTCCTTAATAAAAAAGCTAACAGAACAACAATACCCCGGAGTTTAATAATTTCTTTGAGTAAATCATGTAGTTAAAAAGAATATCTATTTTGCCTTAAACGTGCTGCTAAAATCCCACGGTCCCGTCAGTAAAATAATTATTCCACACATTCGCACGAAACCTTACCTGATGCTTTGAATTTTTTACATATGAATCGAGATTTTTCGTAGAACCATGCTTAACTCGAGATTCTAGCAGCACTTTCTGAGTATTTTTGAAGGCAAACTTTCCATCTGTACAAATCTTTTGTTTTGAAAAATACAGCTTATTGCTGTTCTGTTGCATTATTTTTGTTACAAATGACAGAGGAAAGGCCGACCGGGATACATTTAAAGCTGACTGTCTTCGAAAGAGAATATCATTGATGAAAATAAATTAGCATACCTTTTTATTAAGTGAACTCCATATGAATTTCATAAAATATCCACGATATTTTCTTTTAAACTCCATTTTACGTATCTTTGTACGTGTAATTCTCTTTACACGACTTGATCAATTCCAAAGTTAATGTACACATATGACGTCATCGGTGGTAGATTTTAATCAAAAGACAGAATACAGCATAACAAAATAAGACCATTTCATTTTTGTTAATGCTTACACGTTTCTATTCATTTTCTAGAGTTAAATTATACCTCTAAATACCAATATTACGAAAACTTGTGTTCAAGAGTTCTAGAATTGACGTCATCTCGCCTACTATGACGTCATAATGTGGCACTGATATCGTCAAGGTAGAGATTTTGTATGCTTCTTTATTCCCCTGCGTGTGTTATACTGTAAAGTAAAGAGGCAAAAACAGAGATTTACAGTGAAAGTACAGTCTTTCAGAGATTTTCAGAGAAAAATCAGAATATCATGGTGAAAGGACCTTTCCATAGGTTTGAATATTTTTTTTAGACATTTTGAATTTCATTTAGGAATTTGACACACTTTTGGAAAATGTTCCCAAATTTAAACCTTGGTCATCTATGCCATGGCTTTCATTTTCAATGGTGTATTCCATGTGTAAAAAACTTTCTTGGGTACATGTATTTTTGACATTTGACTTTTATCGAGTTTGACTCAGTTTTAAAAGGATTTGATTAATTTAACAATAGCAATAATTACTGAACAGTTTATTGAAGTACCATCAGAAATGACATTTGACCTTGAACTTATGGATTTGACCTACTTTTTAAAAACTTTTAGCTTGGCTGAAGCTCCTAAATAATTAGTGCTAGGGGTTTACTATTTTACCGGTTTATTTAATTTGGTAAGATCTTCTCTCAAATACCAACATTTGTTATCCTTTTGTTTGGACCCCAGACTTTGACCTTCTTTTGAAAAACTTTGGCAATAACTTTTGAATGGTTGATTTTGTGACTTTTATATTTCACCCGTGTTTTCTTTGCAAAATTATTTAATCCTTGACCTTGTCCAGTTTGACCTACTTTGGAAAATCTCTAATTTTGGTCATAATTTTTGAACTGTTGCTGCTTTTATGGCTTTAATTTTTCGAAGGTAGACTCATTATAGGCACTTTTCTTTTGGTACCAAAGGAAATTTTCTCTTGACCTTGGTGTTTGACCTTCAAACGACAACATTCATCATAAGCTGCCATACGCGAGCATGTTTGTTTTAGAAAAAACATCTTGAATCTTAATCATTAGCTCCGAAAAATTTTTCCTAATTATTTAACTACAAGTTCAAAGTTGTAGTCTTTGTACACATTAAATAACACATTAAATAATTAACTTGTCTTAACACACATATCGATGTTAGGTTATCGATCATAACCTAAGCAATGAATCTTTTTTTAATGATGTAGTCTCACAATCTTAAAGGTATTTGCAAGCATAACTATCGAGTAATGCGCCGCGTGATAAAAAATTGTTTTCACAGATCGCTGCAGATATTTGAGATTACATCTTTTTAAAAAAAACAAAAAGAATCAGTGCTTATATATTTATGTTTTCAAACTCCTTGTCTTATAAGCAAATTTGACTTATTATTTTGAATACTTGAATTATCTCTTAAGTAAATAGAATTCAATTTTAAACAAAAATATTCCTGATTTTTGCTTATGTCTTTACTCTTGCACGGCATTGTACGTTTGTGACGTCAGATTAAAACGCATTTTATACATTGTAACCTTTTTACCCCCGTTCTTTGTAATTATGTTTTGAAATAAAATAAAAAGCAAAAAGAAAAAAAATTGCAGCAACGATATAAGTCTACTTTTACATATCTTGTGCATTCAAGAGCAGACAAATCTAAGTTTTATTCTTTTTAAATGATAATCTCTGGCAAAAAAATATACCAATCTTCAGAATATGTGAATTTTTTTTTTTACCTTAAGCTCATAACATACCCTTGGTAAATCACTTTGATCTGATAGGCGTACGAATCTAGTATCACATACAGGGTTAGGGTTAAGGTACATATATAAAACTCGATCTATTGAAATATATTTATGATATAATAAGATTGGTAGAAAGACATATTCAGTACGTCTGACGTCAAGAATTTAGCATATTTTCTTCACGATGTTAAAAAAAATAACACCTATTCAAGCGTTTTTGTATAGTTGATTAATTGACAATGCATGTCAATGCTCATCCATTCAAAATACTGCATGGAAGGAAAAAAAAAGATAGGGGTATGTTTTAGAGAATCATAACCTTAGACGTATTATACTGCAAGACAAAAACATTAAAAATATCTACATGTACTCATGTTTTTTTTTAATATATTGAAGTCTTTTAAACGATGAATACTATGAAACATGTCTTATTCGACAAGGGATACAAACTTTAAATGTATGTGTCGGAATGAACAAGGTGCAGAATTGCAACATGTAAAGATCATGGACATATGTAGAAAGGAAAAGTAAAATTGAGTGACAGAAATCACAGTAAAGAACATTGCACATTTGTCGGATCAAACAAGTTCCAATGTAATAGGTTTAACGTTAAGCAATTTTTATCATTATTCTCCGTTCAGACATATTAGTTTATCCATGTTTGTAAATAAGAACAAAATATTTCTTATTTCAAATTTATTACAACACATATGAAGAACATCTTTTACTAAATACATGTGGTAGAAAAAAAAATAATTTATCGCTTTAAAGAATTGTTCAACACCCTTTGTTGCAACCACTATTGAAATAACAACCACTATTGAAATAATTATATCAATAGTGGTTGAGAGTGCATTTCAATAGTAAACACAGTTAATAACCACTATTGAAATTTGACCACTATTGAAATAATTATATCAATAGTGGTTGAGAGTGCATTTCAAAACAAACACAGTTAGTAACCGCTATTGAAATACGACCACTATTGAAATAATTATATCAATAGTGGTTGAGATTGCATTTCAATAACAAACATAAATAGTTACCACTATTGAAATACGACCACTATTGAAATAATTATTTCAATAGTGGGTTAGAGTGCATTTCAATATAGTAACCATAGGTTTCAAACACTATTAAAATACTACCAGTATTGAAAGAAAAGTTTCACTTCGACAGCAACTTTTGAAATAAATATTTCAATAAATATTGGATTTATTGTTCAATGCACTATTGAAATCAATAATTTAATCAATATTGAAATCTTTGTTTCAAAAGTGAACATTATTTATTAGTGGTCACAACCTATGTTTGTTATTAAAAATGAATCTCACCCACTATTGAAATAATTATTTCAATAGAAGTCGTATTTCAATAGTGGTTACTATCTATGTTTGTTATTGAAATGCACTCTCACTCATTATTGAAATAATTATTTCAATAGTGGTCGTATTTCAATAGTGGTTATTACCTATGTTTGTTATTAAAATGTACTCTTAACCACAATTGATAGAATTATTTCAATAGTGGTTGTATTTCAATAGTGGTTATTACCTATGTTTGTTATTAAAATGCACTCTTAACCACTATTGATATAATTATTTCAATAGTGGTCGTATTTCAATAGCGGTTACTAACTATGTTTGTTAATGAAATGCACTCTCAACCACTATTGATATAATTATTTCAATAGTGGTCGTTATTTCAATAGTGGTTGCAACAACCCTTCTTTAACCAAAAAAAAATATTTGTTTACAAGTTTGTCACTTAATGTTAAACATAATCAAAAAAAAGAACCATTGGCCTGTGAAAAAGATTAATTTGAAATCGGGTTTGTCTTGGTGATGGATGGTCTCTTATCTGTTATGAAAAGAAGAATGAATTTAATGCTTCACTGATATAAGAGCATGTTTTATTAAACAATTTTTTTATAACCACTAGAAATGCAAAAAGAATAAAGTAGTTATTGGGATGTGATGGGGTTTAACTAGTGGCGCCTGATCATCATGGCTGTCTCCCTTATGGACGTTCCACTCCATATTGTAGGATACCATAGGTAGATCCAGGACTCCGAGGACCATGGCCCGTTGAGGAAGGCGTAGTGACAGAAATTAAACCACCAGCCTCCTCCATAGTAGGCAGCACAGTTACCACTCCACCTGTCATTATCCCTGTCTAGGGTGGAGAAGTACATCCCAGAGAGATCAGCCCTAGAAAAACCAGTGTCTATCATACTGTCACCTGTAAAATCAAACAATAGGAATCACACAGATAATGGATTTATATAGCTTTAATAGTATTGTCAATTATAAAACTGAGGTACATTTCAGACATACGGCTTTGTGTGATGAAAAAAGCGAAAATATTTATTTAAAAATACAACACAAAAAAACATTCATTTAGCATCCTTTCTAATATAACGAGACTCCTGGGTTCGTTACACTTTAAAGTTTGATAAAAAAAAAAATAAAGGTCACTTTAAAATAAATATGTCAAATTTCGAATTGTACCATCAAATGATATCTTGAAAATATAAAAACCTCTCATTAAAATGGAATCGATCGGAAAGAAAATATGTATCATTGACTCTATCTAAAATAAATAAATTATATTTGACTTAAAAGAAGTTTAAGATAAAGCACGTGATTTTATTCAGTTTTAAGAAATTAACACGAAGACACTTACCTAAGGTTCCCGTGGCAGGTCCTGCAAGAAAGAGTTGATATTTCCCTGTTTCATCGGAGACAGAGAATCGATCGTACATTTCGTACAACGTTGTGCCATTCTGGAGAGTGATGGACACATAAAGGGCCGAGTTGTTCTCTTTTGTTAACTGATGGATCACGTCATTTCCTATATTAAGATTTTTGTAAAATACTAAGTACATAGTTTAAAACTAAATCAGGTTATAAATATATTTCAGATACATGCTTTTAGACTACGTAGATGCATATTAAGTATCTGCTATATCATGCTTTGTTTTTATGTATTTTTAAGGCTATTCAAATTATTCTTTCATGTCTTATCTTCACTTTTTTTGTTAAAAATGAATGCATTTTTTAAAAATATAATTTTGAACTTCTACAAAACACAGCTAAAAAAGGAAAGTTTGAACAGATCTTTGGTATCTTTTTTACTAAATCAAATGTCCGGTGTTGGTTCATATTTACCGATCCAAAATTCCTGTTCTAGATCACCAAAACCATTCTTGTAGTCTGTCCAGTTCCAGTATATACAATTTTTAGGCTAGTTTGCTTGCTGTTTAAATTAAGTATGTAATTATTGTGATGGGACACTTGTAGGATTTATAGACATGGCATCATTGTGAAAAGATAAAAAAAAAAGTGGACATAACGAGCAGTAATCAATTTTTAAGAAAAACAACAACCCGAATCTGTGAACAGAGCATAAAGCACACCCCTGGAAATTCCAGAGGTGGGATAAGTAGACATGTTGCTGGTATTCAGATAGACAGAATATTCTGTAGTCTAATTTAGTATAAAATGATCTAACAATGGAAATGAAAGAAACAACAATAAAGCGACTCAATGATAGGTTTTATTAAACCAAGGTCATTATGACGACAATAGAATTTTTCGAAATTGAAAATATTAACTTTAAACCAGGTTTTTTAATCCCTGTAACATCATTTTATTTGTCAATATTGTTATTGTTAGGATGTGCACCCTTGATATCAAATTTATTTCCTATGTTCCAAAACAATTTTTTTGTCAACCATAAGTTCAGGCAACGGTGTCTCAACCTACCTATAAGATTTACCATGTACTACAATGCAAAGTGACGTCTTGTCATTTGCTTTTTATCATAGAAAAACTGTGCATTGTGATGTCAGGTTTTATTTACCCCCGGCTCAGGTCGGGTCCACGGAAATTCACACCCAACTTTGTAACCAATTAAAGCTCTTGTTACAAGCTACGCAGGAAGTAATACAATTTATACCTACTCCGATCATGCTCTCGCCTATCGCATATGTTTGGGAAATGGAAACACCATATGCAGGTGAAAGTAGAATATCAGTTTATAAATAGAGGGAAACGACGATAAAAAACTATATCAATTTCCCGGAAGAGACACAATATAAATATCACAATATCATTCCAATATCATCCCAATACATCAAAAAGCCCGGATATAAAGCTAAACAAGCTAATTCAGAGAATTCGTGTCCCCCGCTTAGGGAAAAAGTCGGATCCCCCATGACTGAATTTGTAGAATTATTAAATGTATACATGTATACTGATGCAAATAAAATACATGTATGTCAATATGCGTATAAAGATTTGTTTGCTTATTCTTTATTATGTGTATAGAAGATTCTTTTTATATGGAATATTTATCACACTGTAATAATGATTTTATAACCTCATAATTTTTTCTTTTCACATGCTGAATACTATCATTTAAAAAAAAAACGAAAATTAATAAAAAAAAAAAAAAAAAAAGGATCGTCCGAGATTCGATCCCGGGTCCTCTCGCTTATGAAGCGAGAGACTTACCACTAGACCACGGAGGCGCTTTAAATATCGTCGCGTATATGCAGAAGTGAAGTCACATACATGTATATATTCATGCTCGATATTGTCAAAATTTTACACAATTCATGGTGTTTGATTTATTTAGCCTTTATTAAACAGTTCTAATAGATGTAATAAGAACACAAAGTCGCTGAGAACCTGTTTTATACGCAATAACTCTCCGCATGCCCCTGTGCTAAAAATAGCGACATGTAATACTATAAATACTAATAAAACAAACGGGGCGGGGCACTTTGAGAGGGGTGAGAGAGGTCCTAGGGAGTTTTGGTATAAAATTACATTGCGTATAAGCTCAAAATCTTCTTGAAATATCGCCCGGAAATGATAGTGTTACACAGAGACAGAATGTATAAATTTACGACCTTGAATTTTGACCTTTTGACCTCAAAATCAATAGGGGTCTTCCCTAGGCCACAGAGAGTTGTTATATAAAATTTCATTGCAATAGCTCAAATGGTTCTAGAGATATCGTGTGGAAACGAAAGTGTTATAACAGACAGAATTTGCTTTATATGACCTTGACCTTTGACCTTTTGACCTCAAAATCAATAGGGGTCTTCTTTCGTCCATAGGGATTTGCTATGCTAAATTTCATTGCAAAAGCTCAATAGGTTTTCGAGTTATCGTGTGGAAACGAAAGCGTTACAGACAGACAGAAAGACGGACGGACGGACGGACAGACGGACGGACGGACAAACCCAAATTAATATCCCCCACTTTTCAAGCGGGGGACAAAAAAACCTACCGTCCACCCGCCGCCCATTATATCCATGTTACAGTGAACTTTGACCGGAATGGAATTTTTCCCGTACGGGTAAATATCGTACACGTCTGATTTATCATAACCATTGTCACAAAGGTCCTTACAATCTGAGGGGAGAACTATAGAAAAAAAGTGAATTATATACGATTAGAACTTAAATGAATATAATATAAAGGAAAAATTAAAGAACAAAAGTGAGAATTATAGAGGATTAGGACTTATATAATATAAAGGGAAAACTAAATAACAAAAATGAACATTATATTTGATTCAGACTTAGACCATCTGAAAGAAGATCTCAAAAGCAAAGTGAGAATTTTAAAATATTATAACTTAAACAATAAATAAATATCTCAATGCTTGAAACGACTCTAAAAAATAAACAATCATACTAACATAATATATAGAGGATATCCAATGTTTTGTAGTTAAATGTGTAATTTATTTCACGAGTTGAACGCACGAGTGAAAATATCAAACAATCCTGTCTCGCGAGTGAAATAAATTCCAATATTCAACTACAAGACATTGAAATTTCTGTTTATTACATTTTCTTTGATTTTCCTTTTGTTAACGTTTTTTTTATCTGAAATGCAGCCTTAGGCTACATGACGTCATAGTTGATCGAGTGGTTGACAAGCCATACCTAAGTGAAAAACATTGTAAACATGAATTTCAGCAACATATTTGGAAACTTTCGCAATTTTAATCTATGACAGAATGGTTTATTAACTCGCTTTCTATCTTATAACAGGTCTGGGAGTATATTCCACAACCTCTTGGTGAAGGGAAGGAAAATTGAAAGTTCTTCCGCACTTCTGATATTCTTTCACACTGTGATCATGACAGGATATCATTTTTTAGCACTTTTATTCAATGAATGAATTACAGTATTTGACTGTTAAAAATGTAATAAAAATCTCTTTACCTTGCTCCAAATTTAAGGAAGATTGAAAAATAAAATAAAAGCTAATACATACATTCTGGAAAGTAATATCGCCATCCTACTTCGTCCGACATTCCGGAAGTGAAGGCCTTCTTGTGGGTCCGGCACTTCTTCAGCGTAGGGTTGTACCCGAAGAAACCACAATCTATCTGACAGGTGGCAGCACACTCACGTAATGAATGGGCTTCCTGTTCTCCTACAAGTTTTTCATTGGACATCTTGTTATCGAGTTCCAGTTTCGCGGTATATCTCCTGGAGAACATGGTAGCACGACAAACTGTAAAGAGAGAGGCAATTAAACAAACTATACGAAGACTGCACATATTGTAGTCACTATGTGTATTTAGAGCGTTGCTGTAAGAGTTTGGAATCAATCCGTCGACTGTCGAGCATAAATATCCAAAAATTATCTATTCCTGAAAAACGATTGGCTTGTGATATGTATTTATTATTTCTGAAATATTGATTTTGTTTAATTCCTGGAATTAATGCAGTTACTATTAACTTACGAGTAACCAATGAAATGAAGTTAGTTTTTATTGCGTTTTTCAATTTTTCCGCGTACAGTCAAGATTTTAATTTCAAAAGAAGTGCTCGGAATCTATAATCTTTTATTTTAATTTTTGATTAAGGCAGTCTTATATTATCAAAGTATGGCAGGTTCTAAATATTTCTACTTTAATTGTTTTCACTTCGGGCAAAATAAAAACACCAATGCAATTTCAAATAACGCAAACACTTTACAAAAGTGTCATGCAAAAACAAAGAGATTAAATATCTTATATCTTATGCGATAACGAAGTTTCCTTTCACAGCACAGTTTAGGCTACACGAAGGGGGGGGGGGGGGCTAATTTGTATGGGAAAATTTAACTTTGACATCATACAAAATATATATCATACAAAAAATGTTTAAAAATAACAGAAAATGAGATTTTTTGCTATTCTTACATGTTGGAAACCATTACACTTCATTAAAATTTGCTATATATTGCTGTTTTGTCGTTAGTTAATTTCCAACATTACAAGGTATAACCAAATGACTGATCGCAATCCACTTGTCGATGTGACGTCATTTCGTAAAACGTGACGCAGTTTGTATGCAGTGAGAGGCATATCAAGTTATATTTTTTCATCAAAAAATATATTCTATAATTAAATGTTATATACAGATATTATAAACGGACAATAACTTGGACTCAATGTCTTTCTGACGATCTTATTGATATATTTTCTGTATATTTCGTATTAAATTGATACTGCCGTATATTTGTATGCAAGTATAGTCTATGGACAAAAGTATTCGTCATTTTTATTGGCGTTGCGTTAATGACGATGTAGCTCTCGGCTATTTTTCACTCTCGTTATTTATAAAACAAACGAAATAGAATGAAACTTTAAATAAAGAGGCGAGAGAAATTACGATACGATTTCGTGAATTAGTCATTTGTATGTCTGTAAACACTGAAAAAAAAATGAAAACATTGAAAGAAAATAAGTAGAGTTGAGAACTGAGGTAAAAGAAATGATCGTAAAATCTGCAATTCATACTCCAAATAAAGCAGAATTGGCGAGAAAGTTTGGTATACTAAGGTCAACAATCGTGAGTATTTTGAATAAATTTGTTACGTACTGTAGACAACTTGCTGAGATCTGGCCGTCGACTTTTGTTAACGACTCGGGACAAGACGCAGTTGAGTCGTCTCGCTAAAGCAAACAGAAGGGACACACATGAAATACTTGACAAATTTAACTAACAAACTCAAGGAAGGGAGGGGAAGACAATTTAGAGAAAAAACGGTATTTAGAAAATCACGTTAAGAAGAGTACAAAAAGAAACGGGCACGGAAAAATATGGTGGTTCGATATGTGAAGAGAAAAAAGCGTGTAAAATAGTGTCAAGAACGAGAAAATCGGAAAATTGATAAAGAATGGGAAAAGGTATACATTTTCCAATGAGATATAGCTTGTTATTGGAACAGATAACCGTGAATATGTATGAAGAAAGGATGCCGAAGCCAACAGCTCCCATTTGATTTGTCCGTCATTGAAAAGGAGGATAAAACTTATGATCAGGGGATGCATGTGTTTTGATGGCATGGGGATTATTGTACCTGTCTAAGGTAATATAAATGCACTCAAATACTTAGAAATACTTGATAATAATTCATGGCCTGTAATTGTATTTTCAGAACAAGACTATGTTTTCAAAGGCGATAATGCTCCCGTACATAGGGCTCTCGTAGTGAAAAAACTACAAAATATTATTAACTGCACAGATTTGCCAGCTCAGTGTCCAGTAAGATGAAAAACATTTGGTTAAAGATCAAAACAGAGCTTAAAGGCATGTCCTCAACTTTTGAAAGTCGCAATCAGCTGTTTGAGGCAATTAGATAGGTGTGGGAATACGTCCACAGCCTCTGTGCATCCATTCCAAATCGGTTTAAAGAGGTAATCCGTATGAAAGGGAATCTGACAAATTATAAGGCAATTGACTTTAATTTCAAATATACAAATCTCCATTTCATTCTCCCGTTTTGAACGTAAACAAGGCGACGCCATTTTGAAAATGACGAATATTTTTGTCCATTGACTGTTTTGTAACGTATTTACAATTAACCTAAAGAAATCGTACATGGTCATTTCCAGGGATTGGGGTGTTCAACATTAAATGATTCGAAATAATTGGAATGATCTTAGTGGACTGGCGAAATATACAAACATGTCTTAACCTTATCTAGGTAAATTTAAATCAACAGTAAATGATTTTAAAAATCGGAGGCAAGCAACAAAATCAAATGGGGAGCCCTAACCTAACATGAAAATAAGATGCCTAGTCGCCCTCGGACTATTGCATATACTGTAGGATGCCTTATTCAGGACGGACAGTATATATGATAGCCCTTCAACCACTACACTCATTGTAAGATGCCTTATTCAGGACGGACAATGAGAATAGCAGCATGGACGCACTGGTTAGCCAATATGGACGAGACACAACAAAATATGGCTAACCTCTATGTTTGAGGTCAACTAAATTTGTGGCAGGCCTTAACTGGGTTGGCCTTTCAAATTCACTCTCTAACTGTAAAAGACGCGAGCAATATAACACGCGAATATATCATTCACGACACTCGTTTTCTAACCTTGGCTGCATCCGACGAACTACCCCACTGGTCACTGCAGAGTCTCGGTATGTATACACAATATATGTCATGTGATGTGAACAGAGACTAATTGAGAACTCTACATGGTCAAATCTGAAAATTTTGAGTTCATTACACTACCCATGCCTCCGATTACATGCGCCCTGCATGCACAACTTGGAAACTAAATCATAATTCTAAAATCTAAATAAAAGTTTAACAAAAATCGAAATAATTTCAAAGTTAAATACAAAATTTACAAGGATCTTTTTTTAAACAATATTTTCAACTATCTACACTATTTACAGCCATGTAAAACTAAGCACTCGGCAAAGTTCAAAATGTATTTGTTAGGGTCTTTGTCCTAAGAAATTTAGGTCTTACGCCCTAACTTATATGTGATGATACCTTCAACCAGTTCTGAACCTATGGCGGCTGACCTCGTTTGCTTTAATAAAACAAGCATGAAGTGAAGAAAACTTTTAAAATTAACTACTGCCCTAAGGCAGTCATCAAAACATACACAATGTCACTCTCAGACATATTAATAATTTACAAAAATAAACTCGACTAAGATCAACCAAGACAAAAATAAATATATAGTAGATTTAATGATAGAATGCAACCCCAAATCCCACCGCTACCACCAAATTTTGTAACGTATTTACAATTAATAAAGGGACCTTACCTGGTCATTTCCAGGGTTTGGGGTGTTCAACATTAAATGATTCGAAATAATTGGTATGATCTTAGTGGACTGCCGAAATGTACAAATATGTCCTAACCTTATCTTGGTAAATTAAAATGAACAGTAAATCACTTTAAAAATCGGAGGCAAACTACAAAAATGGGGAGTCCTAACCTATCTTTTAATTAATATGCCCAGTCGCCCTCGGACTATTGCATATACTGTAGGATGCCTTATTCAGGTAGGACAATGAGTATAGCAGCCAATGCAGACGAGACACAAGAAACTATGGATAGCCTCTATGTTGGAGGTCAACCAAGTTTGTGACAGGCCTTAACTGGGTTGTCCTTTCAAATTCACTCTCTAACTGTAAAACAGGTAAGGAATATAACACGCGAATACATTATACACGACACCCGTCTTCTAACCTGGCTGTATCCCACGAACTACCCAACTAATCACTGCGGAGTCTCGGTATTTATTCACAATAAATGTCTCGTGATGTGTGCAGAGACTAATTGAGAACTCTGCATGGTCATACCTGAAAATTTCGAAATCATTACAGTATATCGGCATGTACTGTAAGGGTCTTAATAAAACGATTTAGTGCAAGGGCATACACTCAATTATCATAGTAATCTTTTCCAAATCAACACTATAGGTATTAAGGTATCTGAAAAGTAATGCGATCCTAATGAAATCCTGAAAATAATTTAATTATATCAATATTTTAAGCCGTTGAACAGCCAAAAATACAGCATTCGGTCATACAAACATGATTTTCACAATAAATTTGCAAGATATGGATAGAATAGCAGTACTTTTCAGAAACTACAATGCGTTTTGAAAATTTTGTAAGTTAATGTGCTTATATCAAGTGCTTGCCGCATCACTTGACAAGTCTAAATATAAAATCTAATCGTCCCCAATATGTTGTTATTTACAAAAATAACAGTTATCAAATAAAAATAAACTAAAAAATAATTGCAATCACGATTATGAATACATTTTTGATTACAAAATATTGCTGATACAGTGGACCTTCAGATATCCGGACCCCAGATATCCGGATGCTTCAGTATCCGGACGCTTTTTCATCGGGATGGAATTTTTAAATGTTATATTGTTTTGTTTAACTGGTGATTCAGGTATCCGGACGCTTCACATATCCGGACAAATTGACTGGGAACCAAAGCGTCCGGATAAATGAGGCTCCACTGTATTTCCATTTCGCGCCTTAACTGAATTGGTTTGTAAAATGAACAGAATAAAACTATTTCTCTATAATTGAGCTTGTACAACCTTCAGGATATTCAAATTTTGGACAAAAGGCATCTACTGTCAATCCAAAAAAGTGCTCCCTGGACGATTTTTTTGCATTCAACAAATTGTTCCTTTCAAAAGATTTATTGATCGATTGATTGTATGTGTTTAACGTCCCTCTCGAGAATTTTTCACTCATATGGAGAGACCACCACTTGCCGATGGAGGGCTAC